ATAGATAGACCCCTTATAAACACCACAAGATTAGTGCTCTCAAAATGTTTAAGTGGAAAGAATCTGAGTATCATACTGTACAAAGTACAGCAATGCCTTAAAGTTAAATTTTCCTCTAGCTTCTTCCCTCTCATCCACATTTCGTTCAAGTTCAGGGCAAAGGAGGAAGCCAAGAACTATAACTGAAAACTCTCTGTCTGGATTAATTAGTTAGATATTTTGAATTCACATTCACATGATATCCATTCACAAAATAACTCATTTAATACTAAAAATATTTCATTACTAGGATGGACTCTTAGAATATAACCTTTTCTATCCAAAAAAAACCCTTTGCCCAAAACATTTCCTCATTTGATCTGAGGCTCCTCTACATATCCTCGTCTTAGCTGCATTTATTCGTACTGAAGTTGATATTAAAGCCATCTTAAAGGATGCAGCTCACAGCTCCATGGATGCAATTATTGTGACATGTGCCTTCCATCGTTATCCAGAAGAAATTGTATGTTGCCCAGGATGATTGATTTATTACTGCCTTTGTATTTGATTTCATCATTATTTTCTTTGTCCAACAGACCCACACTTTTCTTCACAAAATCACCCAGTCCTGTCTCTCAGTGAGCAAAGTAGCTGATGGCTCCCAACATCCCACTGTGAAATCATGTAATGATAGCCCTTTGCAAAAATGGCTACTTAGAAACTATACAAGAATGGAAGTTTTTAGAAATATTCTTGAGAATTCTACTAATTACTTTCTCTAATTATTTTTGGAGGTTTGTGTTGCAGACTTTATTACATTTATTTCAGCATTTTAGTTATGTTCTTTTACTGAAATCTGGAAATTTCTTTACAATGTGGTTAAAGAAAAATCTTCATGTATATTTCTCTATGGAGTTATTTTTCTGTCTCTTCTTAACTACTCATTAATTTGGAGGCTGTGTATATTGTGTTTAGTCTATCATGAATTAATACACATTTTTCCATTTTTTCTTTATTTTAAATACATGTGTATGTGTGTATGTTATAATATACTATATCATTTATTTAGCGCTTTTTAGACTGAATTATAGCCATGTCGATAGGACAACAGATTTTTAATCAGAGCTAAAAAAAAATCAATTAAAAAAGCTAGCATAGCCAAAAAAAGGATTGCTTTTGAAATACTGAAATTATTTAATTTTGTTAATTTTTTTATTCAGAAACTTTGGTTGTGTGCAGACATACCATATCTTTTCTAGAGTTTGTAATTATTTTAAGCTGAAAAGTTAAACAAATGCATTATTAAGGATTAACTAAGATGTAATTTTCAATAATTTTAAGAAGTAAATGATCTCTCAGCATTTCTTAGTGGTTGCTTAAGTGATATAATTATAGTAACAAAATCATCTTTTTAATTGTACCCTTTATCTCTCACTTGTGTGATTTGTGAATCTTCTCATAAGCAATAAAATGGATCAATTTTGTTCAAGTCAACAAACTGTCTGGACTTCTTGTAAAGGATACAAATAAGAATATATCCTAGTTCTTGGTTTTAAGGAGTTTATTGTCCAGTAAACAAAGGGCATTCCATTGTCAAAAACCTTACTATGAGAACATATGGAAGGTTAGGGAGTTATTGTGGCTCAGATGAACCAGCTAAGGGTTGTTAGTAGAGCACACAATTGAGCTTGGAATTCTTGTGACAAAGCTGGGAATCTGAAAGTAGGAAGGAGGAGGAGACAATTGGCATTGTTTAGAATAGAACTACTTTCAAGACAAGGCCTTCCAAGTATAAGAGTTGAAAAAACTGGAAAAGTCTAGGCCTTTTGTACAAGGAGAACTTGAATACTGGGCAATTTTCATATATTATCTTAGTTTGTTCTCAAAGCAACCGTAGCTGGTAGGTGCAAGCCCCAGCATGTTGTCTTGTTGGTGGTGGTGCCATCAAGTCAATTTTGACTCCTTATGACACTGTGTGACTGAATGGAACTGCCTTATATGGTTTTCTAGGCTGGTGGCATAATGGTTAAGAGCTTGGCTGCTAACCAAAAGGTCGGCAGTTCGAATCCACCAGCAGCTCCTTGGAAACCCTATGGGGCAGTTCTACTCTGTCCTATAGGGTCCCTATGAGTCAGAATTGACTCAACAGCAAGGAGGAATCTTTACTAGAACAGATGCCAGGTCTTTTTCTCCAAGAGCCTCTGGGTGGGTTCAAACCACCACCCTTTTTGGTAAGCTGCTTAATCATTGTGTCACCTGGGCTCCTGTGGTCTTAAACCAAAAACCAAACCCATTACCATCGAGTCAATTCTGACTCATAGCGACCTATAGGACAGGATAGAACTGCCCCATAGGGTTTCCAAGGAGTGGCTGGTAGATTCGAACCGCTGACCTTTTGGTTAGCCGATTCCTTAACCACTGCACCACCAAGATTCCACGGTCTTTTTAGGCTTAAATAAATACCTAGTCTCAGAAAGCATCAGTCTACTCAGAGTTCTAGGGCAGAGACCACAGCTTGCATCTTTCAGTGGGAGAACTGGCAGCAGTTCCTAATCAAGTCATGCAGTCTTCTGGGAGCTAGCTTCTCCACCATTGACAGCCTAATGCTAAAGGATGCAATCCACATCAGACTGGTGTGGAAACCAACCTGGCTAAATAGTCTCCTGTCCCACAGGGGACAATATTTCTTGTAGCAACTCTGTTGGCTTAACTTCCAGGATTCCAAAGGAACATGCAAAATACAATAGTGTCTGCACATAGAGAAGCTCAGAGTTTGACTTCCTAGCGTATTCTTTAGGATCACTTGGGAACTTGCCTAAGTTTTCAAAGCTAGTAAGTGAGGAGGCAGAAATTCATACTCAGATCTGAGCCTAAAATGTCTGCTTTTCTCCTTTGCCACACTGAGACGGAGATTTTTTTTTTTAGGTGTTTGTTTATTTTTGTTTATCTGTGGTTTTTGACTATTAATAAATTCCTTCAAAGAAAATATTTCTGAGTATTTTTGTTAGAAAGAACAATACTTAGGAGACTTTTAAAATTATTATTATTTGTATAGTTGACAAGCAGCCTGCCTGGGTGGTGCAAGCTATTTGCGATTGGCTAACCTAAATTAGTTGGCAGTCGGAACCCACCCAGCGACTCAGCAGCAGAAAGATCTGTTGAACTGCTTCCATAAAGATTACAGTCAAGACAACCCTATGGAGCAGTTCAACTCTGTGACACGTGGAGTCACCATGAGTCAGGGGCCAAATTGACAGCAGCTAACAATAGTGTTGACCACACATATTCAATTTGATCCTTAAGGAGAAGTCTCAAAGTCTGTTTTTGTGTACATTTTTACCTAAGCTAACTGATAGTTAATCAAAGCCATCAACTACTGTTATGTGTGATTAGATTCGAATAAGAAAATGGCAGTGCTTCTTGGAACAGCTCAATGGGCAATAGCAAACTCAGTGTGTATAAAATCACATAATTTTTTGCAAAAGGATCTAATAGAAGCAAGCAAGGGTAAGTGACTTTTTGGAAAGAAGATATATACATGAAGAATCTCAGGTATGTAATAAAAATGAAGAATTTTTAGTTGATTTTAACTAGAATTTTTCATTAAAAAAAAAGATGTTGGTTTTGTTTTGTCTTTTTTTCAAGCTGGTTGCTGGTTCAATTTCTGGTATCCTAAGAATAAATCAACCGTCTTCTTGCCTATCTTTGACAATTTCTTACTTTCTCCATTTTTAGTATAAATAGCCTGATTCTATGTATTGAAAGAGAAACAACAAAAGCTTCAATCTTGAAATCTCCTTCACATCTAATAGCTTTGCTCTTTTAATTTCCTGCTGCTTTTCTATTAAGCAACCTCCTCCCAAGTTTATTCTCCATTCCACTTTTCTCATAAGTGTATTCTAGGGTGGGTTCAGTCCTAATCCAAGCAAATTACGATCATTTTGGGTGTGTTTCTCCACTATTTTTATTGCATACAACCTGCATTGTTTTTTCATCCAATTTCAGTGCAATATCAAGAGCCAAAAAATATTTTCATTTATCTTTAATTTTGGTATAGTTTGCAACAAAAAGATACAGAGTGCTTTTTTCAGGATATGCCTGCAAATACCCTCCCACACATTCATACTTTTCTCTTCTGGTTGGGGAGTTTTTCACGTAATATGGTTCTAGACATTGTCCATAAAACTGAGCAGAAGTACCTAGTACATATAAAACACATTGATTTAAATGTATATCTGGAAAATCCAAAAAAATATGATTTCAAAATGTAAGGGAGAACTCAACTGAGAAGACATGTAATACTGGTTAATGTGGTGTAATTATTAGAATTATATTTCAACATCTGGGTACAGAAAGGATGCTTATTAAGCATTATTATTAAGAAAATAAAATATAAATATAACATTTAAAATATATAACCATCACATGCCTGTTTTTATTTGATATTGATATATTTTTGAAGATCTTTCAAAGTGCAAACCAAAATATAGTGGACATACTATCAAGTAATGTAGATTATTTGTTGCTATAATAATCACTCTCCTACAATGAATATCTCACAATCACAGATACTATGGTTTGTTGAGTGTCTTGAAATAAGAACATCACTAGCAGTTTTGTACATTTGGGTCACAGCTGTGACAACCATTTGTGTGTTTACCAAATGGTTACTGAATAAACCAATCTATTGAGGAAGTTTGTTAATATTTGCAGCCCTCAATTGAACTCAGAGCTCACAAATGGGCTTTTTGCAAAGGAGCGTGAATTCTTGGCAGTTCATGATAAACGTCAGCCAATTTCTTTAACCATCTCCAAATAAAGGTGTATTAGATAATGATGAAACTGTAACAGTCTAAGATGATAATAATTCAGACCCACCTGTGCACAGTTTCTTTTAGAAACATATCACAGTGTATTCTACTAAAATAAAATAAAGGAGTTTTTAGAGAGTGGATTTAATCTGATGTACTAGTGAAGTTAAGATGGAATAGGCTGCACTGATTATTGGTTATCTTTTGCAGAGACTTACCTTGAGACATGTTAACAGTAACCAATGTCTTGATGAACCTTCAGAAGAAGACAAAATGGTGCCTACCATGCAGGACTGTAGTGGAAGTAGATCCCAACAATGGCTGCTAAGGAACATGACCTTGGGGACATGAAGCCCGAAGACATTTTCCCCCAAGCCATGAAAGTGTCTACACTTTTGTTTTGCATTATTTCAATTAGGGGAAAAGATTAACTTTGCTTAATTGAAAGTTTTAAAATCCTTTTAGTATTCTAAGACACGGTTGTTTATAATTCATTTTTAGGAATGTTTGCTTATTTCCCTACTGAAATTTGTATCTGATAAAGAAGCACATAATGCCGTATAAATAACAGCAAACTGTTATTAAACATCACAACAACTTGAAAAACTAATTGTGTTTGTTTAAAAAAAAATTATTGCTCTCATCCTACAGGGTCAGTTAATGGGTTATTTTTATTTCTATTTTTTCTTGTCATAGTGATTGAAACAGAGACAATGTAAAATGCCTTATAAAATATTTTCATTATGATAATTATCAATTATTTTATAAACCCCTTCTGTTTCTACTGGACCTTCATCGAAACATGTTAAATTTTCATGTCAACAAGAAGTCTACATATTATTTCTGAACAGTACATTTATTATACAAATAAGTTCCAAGGTTTGTACCAGGAAAAAAATAAAATTGGATTTTGAACTCATAGAGTCCTTACAAAAGCATCACATTGAAAAAATAAAAAAGAGAGAGAAGGAGAATTTGAAAATTCAATTTAAATTAATTAAATCAGAAGAAGTTAGTGAGGCATTAAGTGGAGCAAGATGAACCTAAATTGCAATTAAATCATTTTAAAAGATACTCTAGCTAGTTCCAGTCACTCCTAACACAAATTGATGTGAAAGATTTGTTTTGGTCCCAGAGTTGATGTTGGAATCTCAATCCTTAACCACTGTCTTTGTCTCACTTTCACTATGTGGTCCCTGTTCTCTTCGCTTCAGAGACTATGCCTTGTTACTTCTGTAGGTGAAGAGTAGAGATTTAGCCCTAGTTTTTAAGTCTTTTGCATTTGAAAATCAAGTTAGGTAACTATTGTCATTTTAATTTTGTATTTAAAAAACAAAAGAATGCATTACTACCAGAATTCCATCCATGTACTGTAGTATCTAAATGTTTCATCACCAGAGGAAAGAATGCACATCCATTAAACTTCTATTTTAATTAAAATTGCTAGATATCACTTGCAAGAAGTTATGGCCCAAGGAACACAGTCATAGTGACTGTTCTTCTTCCATCTTAAAACTCTGTGTGTTCAAAATGTATGTGCAGAAGAAATGAAAACGAAGATACGTTTACCACTGAAATTTGTGCCTGTAAGTTTCTGTATTTGACACCATTTTAAATGCCTTTACTCACAGAGTAGAGCCCTGGTGGTGCAGTGGTTAAGAGCTTGGTTGCTAACCAAAAGGTTGGCAGTTCAAATCCACCAGCCACTCCTTGGAAACCCTATGGGCAGTTCTGCTCTGCCCTATAGGGTCTCTGTGAGTTGGAACTGACTCGACAGCATCAGGTTTGGGTTTTATGACCCATAAGGTTGTGCTTCGAGTATATAATTTACTTACAAGCTAAGAGAAATTTGAAGAAAAAAAGGAAGAACTGTCCTCTGGAGCAGAAGATGCTACGTCTTTGGCACTCGTCTATTCTTAAGAAACTTTTATGGAAAATATTAATCAGTTCGGCTACACACAACCCCTCCCACCCTACAGACACACAGGTCACACAAACACTGCTTTATAATGAAAACGAGTACGCTTTGTGAAGGGCAGTAAAATCCTGTATGCATTTCCCCACTAGCATCCCTTCTTTTTGGCTTTATATTGGTACAACTCTGGGGAAGAATTCTATAACCTGGAATATTCCTTAAAATCTTCTTCAAGAAAGGCAACTAGTTTCATCAACTTAAAGCGTAGGCAACCTCTACTGGAAGTCTTTGGAAATTGCTGGATCTCCTAAAATTGTAAGCCAAAGCTTGTCAGGGCATTTTTATGAGGTGAGAATTTATAGCTTATGATATACTCACAAAGACAGCTGTGACTCCCAAGAGGCTGAGAACCACTATCTTAAATTGATAGTGGCCTCTCAAAGAAACTGAGCCCTGACTACCAATTACATTTTCCGTTTCATTCTTTTTTTTCCCCCTCTTCTCCTCTTGTCCTGACTGAAAGAAGGTAAAATATTCCTGCACAGCATTCTCCCATAAACTTAAAATGCTTAAAGTCTCAAGAATTCCTTTGTGCAATTTGTTCCACTTATTATGAATTTGTCGATCAAAATGCATATGTTATCTAGAAAATGGTCAATGACAAATAAATAAAAAATATAGCTACTCTGCTGAAGCTGAATTTACTAACACATTTCAGCAGCATTTTAAGTATTTCAAAGTTTATTATGGTCATAGTAAAAATGCAGGAAAAATTCAAACTGCATGAATTTCATGACAGAGAAGAATTTTCAGATGGTGTAAACACATGCTGTTAGGGTATCTAACAAACAAAAAATGGCATAAAATATTGTAAAACACTAAAAACTAGAAAGCAATGACTAACATTCAATTTTTTAAAGAAGAATTTTTGTATTCAGTATAGAAAATTAAAACCATGATTGGATTCACAGTGTATTTCTTTTATATATACTTTCCTATGGAGCTGGACTACTATATACTTTAAATTATTTCAAACAACCTCCTTCTGTGGTCTTCCCCATCTTGGTTAATGGCAATTCCAACCTTCTAGATACTCAGGTCAAAAATCTAAAGTCACTTTTGACTCCTCTCATTTCTCATCTGATCCATCAGCAAATTCCATTGAGGCTACTTTTGAAATATAACCAGAAACTGATGACTTATCACATCCATTGTGTACCACCATCTCTAATCTTTTTAATTGCAGTATACTTATAATTTGATTCCCTAATTATCCACCCCTTCTCCTTAACAATCTTTTCTCAATAAAATACCCATAGTGATTCTACTTAAACATAAATTTGATTATGTCACCTTTCTGCTCACAGGCCTCCAATGACTTCTCATTTCTCTCAAACCAACCTTCTTAAGGTGGCCTTTGAGGTCCTTTATGAGTAACACCCCCCTACACACACACACACACACACACACACACACACACACAGAGGCCCTGGGTGACACAAAGGGTTAACACGCTTGGCTGCTAACTGAAAGGTTAGAGCTTCGAGTCCACCCAGAAGCACCTCAGCAGAAATGTCTGATGATCTGTTTCCAAAAAATCAGCCACTGAAAACCTTATGGAGCGCGGTTCTACTCTAACGCACATGGGTCAGAATCGGCTTAAAGCTACTGGAAACACACACACACACACATACTTGCATGAGTACACACATTTCTGACTACATCCCTTGCCATTCCATCCCTTACTTACTCCACTCCAACTGCCAAGCAAGTTCCTGCCTGACATTTTGTTCCCTCTGCTCCACAGAGCTCTCTCCCACTTCTTTTAGTTCTCTGTTCAAATATCATCTAATCAGTAAGGCAAACTCTTCTCTGGTCTGCTGTCTATCACCTGTACCTCTAACAAACTACACATTTCTTTATTTTCTCTCTTCCCCTTCAAGCCACCCCCTGACCACCCCTCAGCATCTCTGCCACACACTCTAGAATGTAAGCCCCATAAAGGCAAGGGGCTTTGCCAGTTTTGTTCACTGTGGTAGCCCCAGCATCTAGTATAGTGCTTGACCCATAGTAAGTACTCTTTAAATATTTCTTGAATTAATTAGCTGAAAGATGTATTTTAAAGCTGCTAAGTGCTACTGTAGCATACTTTTTTTTTTTGCACAGTATTTTAAATTTTAAAATAAAGTCTAGTAATATATTTAGACAGAGTTTGCATAACTTTGTCTCCAAATGATAATTTTCTTCATAATATTCTTCATATTACAGAATGGACTATATTTTGTTCTATAGGAAAAAATAGCCTACATTATGGAAGTAAAATATGACATTTTATAAACATGCTGCTATATTATATAAGTTGATTCAGTAAGCTAAAATTATAATTCAAATTTTTATTTTTGGTTGTGTTTAATGGCCACCTGAAGGTATAAGAATTTTTACTCTTAGAAGGGAGACGTATCATTCTCATTAAAATCATATATGTTTTCATGGTTTCATAAGAGCTATTATTAAATTTATTTTCTAAGTGCAAGTCTATGAACAAAACACAATAATAGTTTTTAAAGTTTGAAAGAACTTTACAGATAACCTATTCTTAGTTTCTACATTTATAGATAATAAAACTGAGACCCGTACTTGTAACACAGTTTGTGTTACAAGCTATATAGCTAAAAGCAGTGCTGCCAGGGCTCCTCATTGGTAATAGAACCTAATGCTGCATTCAGTCAAAGAGCACGTAAAAATCTAATAGAAAGGGCGCAATAATGGCAGATATGCCTTTATTAAATATGTTGATTCTTTAGAGATATTTACATTCTTACCACCTTTCATATTTAAATAATATAATTTCTATAAAATCATACCACAGAAAATAAGTAAAGACCTGCAGCAAAAACCAAGGAATTAACAGGAAACAGAAGGATTACAGAAGATGCTAGCATTATTGAGCAAACTGAGTTTCAGAGAAGCAAAGCCTCTTCAGAAACAACTAAAGAAGACTGTTCTCCCCTCACTCCCATTTTCCTCATGGTTATCTCCAAGTTAAAAGTAAGGTTGGCCTAGAGCTTGCATGAAGAATTAGGTTGTCTGTTACTATGAACATTCGTTAGGTTCCATGTTATGCAGCTTCAAAGACCACAGGGTAATCAACAGGGATTTCTAGGCTTCCCAGTGGGGCCCTGTAGACGCTAGTAAACACAACCCACAAATTCGATTTTCCTATGATGCTTAGAAATAGCCTAATAAAAAAAGGGGGGTGAGGGGAAGAAAGAGAAAATACAACAATAAAATAACAGAGAAATTTTAATTTTTTTCAAATTATTTTTTGGGGAAGTTAGAGTATAGTACAAATTGGTTCAGTAAACCTCAAAACCTTGGCTTCCCCATACATTGTTTTCATCACTTGACACTTGATGATCATATCTAATCACAACCATTTTATTTGCATCTTATCCTTAGATGCTAAATATAGTCTTACAGGAAGAAAACTCGTCTGCGTTCTTAACTTATGAGGTGTATTAATTTCACAAATATGAAGAATTCAAGAAATTCAAGAACTTAAAGGATGTGTCATTGTCTATAAGCTGTCTTTCTGTATAGCTGATATCTGCAA